TAACTATTTTATTTTGTAGATTTTTCTTGCAGTGCAGTGGCGAAAAACCCATAAGGATTTTTTTTAGATAAAATCTCGTTGTTTTACCTGAAAAAATAAAAAAGTTAAAGGGGTGAGCCACTTTTGAGGCGCACCCGGTATAAACATTTTATCTAAAAATGGCCATGTTTCAAAAACCCACTCAGTGTTATTACTAAAAATATATAAAGCCGACTTACAACATTAAACTATTATTTATTCTTGATAAAATTTTATTTTATATTTTTCTTGACAGAATGGCGAATATTTTATTTTGTAAAGTTTAAATATTTTTAATACAACAAAGGTTAATGTAGAAATGTTAAAAATTCGAAATGTTGGGGTAAATCCCGACGTATGGAAAACCTACATGTAATAATCGTTTGAACGTTAATTTCTCAGATGAAAAATTGGCGTGCATCATTAAAAGATACTACGTGAGCTCAGTCAGTTTCCTAATGTTTTAAAATAAATCTAAAAAGTAGGTCTCGCGCATCATTTTTAATCTTCTAAGAAGATTTGTTTTATTTCAACGTACCTTCACACTAGAATGTAAATATTTACATGCCTATAATTAGAGAGATATGTGTATATTTCTATTTTACAGATGGTTTCGTAATTTTTTTAATTTAGGCCATTGCATATTATGTTTTGCATAGTGTGCTATAAGACATGATTGGTTACAATAAGATTTTGGAAATTCAACCCTTAAGGGGGTGAAATTAGGAATGAAATATTGCACCGAATTTTGTTTAAAATTGTTCTAGGAGTATGAAATTTTGCACAGAGATGTCTTCGTTGAAGTAATCGGTAGCCAAGAAGGGATATTTATAAGTCTGTCCAACGAGAAGATCCTTGACAGTGATAGATGTGTCTGTCATTTTAATTTCAAAGTAGTTTATTTTATTTTACAAAGAAATAAGTTGGTACAACTGGAACGCATTGCAGGAAATTAATATAGGTATTTAAAATTTGACTCACAAGTGATTATAGTCTGTCCAACGAGAAGATCCTTGACAGTGATAGATGTGTCTGTCATTTTAATTTCAAAGTAGTTTATTTTATTTTACAAAGAAATAAGTTGGTACAACTGGAACGCATAGCAGGAAATATTTAAAATTTGATTGACAAGATGACAAGTGATTACTTCAAAATATTGTGAAAAAAACTGTATAAAACCTATGTATAAAACTGAAAAAATGTAATCGAGTTATTTTATTTAATAAAAAACGGTATGTGTTAATACAAAACAAACAAGAACATGACACCATACAAAAAAAAATATAAAAAAGAACTATTTCTTACTTTCAAGCTATTATGAACTTCCCGCATTTATGATTATATTTATCAATATATAACTTATGTACAAATACAAATTTGTAATATTCCGCAGCAGGAATAAATAAAACAACATAAATAAAACAAACTATTTTATTAATAATAACACTTACCAAATTTTATACCTCACAGGTTGATTAATTAACTTTAATCTTAATTTTTTTTAAACCAGTACCTTTTGACATTATTTTTCTGCAGTACTAAAATCCATTATTTACCTATCGTGTGATGTCGATATTTTATAGCTACTCCAGTTTTTAGTATGTGTTTAGAGTATGGTCCTTCTACCATATTCGAGATGCACTTATCTACGACGAGATGGTGTACGAACTTTATTGATGGTAACTTTATTGGTGGCTGCTTTGGTGGCTGTATAAGACTTTCTGCCTGGGCAGCGAGTATTAACCATAAACTGTGCTCTGGGTTCTACAGTTAATTTTCACTCGATTTTTCCTCCACTTGACTTCAAAAGACACAAAACACACGTAATAACACGAATCAAAATGTATCATCTTCCAAAACGCAGTATTTGACTAAAAGTTGACACAAAATTCTAACCTATAATATAGCAAGACTGACAAACGTCAAAAATCTAAAGGCGAGTTCATACGCATCGGCGTCCGTTTGTAGTTTATCGTTCCGTCAAACCAATAAAATTGAAATACGATCTGTCATTTTTGAAATAAACCAATAAAACTGGTTAAAAATAACAAGAGACGACGCATGACGGATTTATAATTAAACTCATCCATAGTTAACTTAAAAATTATTAGAAACTTTTTTTAGTAAAATAAATTGATTGGTATGGGACGTCATCTGCTTTTCTTCTGTCATCGTCTGTCGAAATCTTACCTGAGAAAAAAAACAGAGTATATAAATTCGCCCCTTAAAAAAGTGATGGATTTTTAAATGTATGTTTTTTGTAAATTCCAGCCATGAAGCTATTGAATCGTCGGCAAAATAAAACACTAAATCACCACAATACACCAAAACATTTTTAATTTTACACTGGACGCGCGTTTCGCTAACCATGTTAGCATCATCAGCAGATGATTATAAACTGAACTTTTGAGTTTATAATCATCTGCTCATCTAACATGGTTAGCGAAACGCGCTTCCAGTGTAAAAGTAAAAGTGTTTTGGTGTACTGTGGTGATTTAGTGTTTTATTTTGCTGTGTAACACCAAAGGTTCCAACCCTCAACTGTAATATTGAATCGTAATGAAAATCCTCGGTTTGCAATGCCTTAGCACTAATTTATGTGTTTTTTTAAATCAACGTCTTAAAACTAATAAAATATATGTATAATTTTTAAACACATTTAGATTTTTTTTATAAGTTATAAATATAATAAAAAATATTATTATAGATGCTTGTCAAATTTGAAATTCGCCTACGTCTATTAATAATTATAGTGATATATTATTCATAATTAGTAGGTATATATCAAATAGAAAAGTTTAATATGTTTAATAACTATCATGCTTAAAATTAATGACAATTAATTGCATAAAATCGTGTATGTATATGGTATTTTTCGATTTTTTTTATTTAGATAATTCTCCACAAATCTATTATAAACGTGATTTTATGTTATTTCTTTGTCAATCCTAGTTTTATTTTTAAGTAATGAAGTAAATGCATCATTAAAAAAAATAAATTCTAATTAAATTATTTAAAAATGAAGAATTTGCAAATCTTGGTTGTCACAACGCCGATATCACAAAAGGTACAGAAATAGATCGAAACCTCAGAGAAATAATAATTGATAAACTTTCCTGTACAATACGAAAGTACCCAAGATATACAATCCGGATGTAAACAGAAAAATGCTAGGTTGCCATTTATTTACACAAAAAGTTTATTAACGAAGTTCATAGACAGCCAGTCGACTTTGCTAGTTTTTAACTACTCATGTTTCACCTACTCCATTCTCGTAAACTTGCAGGCAGTCAGAGTAGAAGTTCAAAGCACCAAGCTTAAATAGTTTCAATTGAGCTCAAAATCCGACTTATTAAATTACATATGGATTAGCGAATATCTATAGTAGGTGTGCAGAATTCCATGCAAATGATTGCAAATTGGCAGGCTGGTTTAAGCTGTGCGGTAGTCTTGGGGTTTTTGCTTTGTTTGTAGTTTTAAAAATGTGAGAACTAAAAAAATCTTACAATTTTTTTGTTCCCACAACGTCACACAAAAAGCTGTGCCGCACGACGTCTAGGCACAGTTTTTTCACAAAGAAATATCAAAGGACAAAAATTAAAACATAACTTTTCACAAGTTAGTATTGCCTTCTTACTTGTTCGGGTTTTTAATCATTTTAAAAATTCTACCAAGTAGGTAGCATAAATAGAAACAGCATATAATATAAAAAAACTCATTTATTATCTTGTAGAGTTGAACTTTTAAACAAATATTATTTTTTTAAATCAACATTTATATTTTCTTAAAAAAATATTTGATAAAGGCATGTAATATGTTTCCACTCCTTTTCTTTGTTTTTTTTTTTGAACTGATGGCATCTAAATGTAATTATTTGCTTTTGTAACGTATCTGGAAAGCATATTTAATTCTCATTCTATTATATTGCCTTATACAATGAAATTTTGTCAAAGACAAAATAAGACAAAGTCTGGTTAGTTACAATATTTATAACTGAAGAACGGCTGGCCCGATTTTAATGATCTCTAATTTGGTTGGATTCATCTTCGTAACTAATAGCAGAAAAAATAATTGATCAATCAGTGACAATCAGCTGACATACTAGACATTATAGAATAGAAATTGAATGTAAAGTAGTGAGAAAATATCATATTTAAATCTAGAAAGATACTGAAATACTAGTTGAAGCCTGGCGCATCCTCATTACCATTTTATCTATGGTAATATTCTGGCGCATCATCATTACCATTTTATCTATGGTAATATAATTTCGTTTTCATTCTTTGATAAATTATTGTTAATAGAATTTCAATTAACGCCTTATTTTTCCTATTATCAAATGTTAAATAAGCACAATCGCCTTTTGATTTTTAGGACTTCAACCATAACGTTTTTTTTTTATTTTCTCCAAAACGGTATGGAAATTTGGAAAACTATAAACGATATTAACCATTTTAGAACAAGTAAATTTTTTTTATGAAGAATGCATTTTTTCAAGATGTCAATAATAAAAAAAATGTTCTTCTTGTCAAGACAATCCGGGGACATACTGTATTCAGAATATTATTTTGTATCAAATAAAATAAAAAAATATCGGGGTGTTAAAAATCAAAAATTGTAGTCATTTCCGGTGAAACAGGAAGCGACTGAAACTAATTGAATCAATCAATCTTGATTTATGTTATATACTAACGTATCAAATATCGTTTACTTATCTGAGAAAATAAAAGAAATGAGATAAGGGTGAGCCGCTTTTCAACACCCGGTATTCTGGAAAAGTCTTCCAAGAATTTTTAAGATAGATTCATGTTCTGTTTTCATATTCGTATTGTTCAGTAATAATGCATTAAAAAATTATTCTTTTTTGGTCTTTTTGTACGCCGACGATTTTTTTATTGAAATTCCGTGACTTAAGTTACAATCTGACAACACCGTTCTATCGATCACCATTGCGCTACGTGCGGGTCAACCCGAACAGAGACAGAGCATTGTTTTCGTTCCCTCCTTGTTCATAGAAGCGCGTTTATAAACGAAAACGTTTGATATCTTCGGCCAGTTTCACGCCAGTTTTCAAAACCGGTTCGAAGATTAATATTCTCGTCGTGTTATGCACGTGGTATTTGGTAGTTTATACATCCCAGAGTTTTGCGTAATAATTGACTGATTATATTGGGAAAATGTTTTCGCTGAAAGTCAGCAAAAACCGATCTTGCCGAGAAGTTTTTCGCGAGCTGCGTAGAGCGATCAGCAAAACTTCCACGGACAAAAACAGCGATGTTATATCGCGAACGCCAGAAAATTACATGCCCAAATTAGATTTAAATTACGACAAAAGCGATAATTACATGAAATGGATGAAGCAGGTCCAACATAACAATATACGGTGAGTTGATATTCATTCAGTTTGCCTTCCATAGGTTCTGGTTCTATTATTTTTAACGCAACTGGTTCATCAGATTTTTTAGAATCTACTTTGGATACAAATTTGAATGATTCGAAGTTTTAAAATAATTTCCATTTCCGGTTAAAAGAAGTGGCTTCCGTTTAAACCGGATGTTGTTATTGCAAATTTAATCTGCTACCTATGTTGCCATATTTTGGCATGCTTTCTGAACACTTTACCTAATCCTTATTACTAAACATGCCTTGACAGTTTCAGGGATACTAATAAATAATCAAAAAAATATATAGATATTATGTAAAAAAAATCCAAACTTTTTTTGAAAAAATTCCAAATTCTCAAAAAAAATTTCGCGAAAAAAACTCATAGATTTGTTTCTGGGGTCGAAATAGACTAGCCTTAAAAATATTTGTACTGATTTTTAGGGGTAGACGCCAGAAATACGTTTGAGGTTTTCTCGCAATTTTTTTTCAACAATTTGGAATTAAAAAAAAATTGGAATTCTTTGAATTTTTTTTGGTTTAGTTAAAACCGTAATATCTTGATAATACGACAACATTAGGTAGATTAGATGGATTAGATTTACAAGAAAGAAAACCCAGAAAAGATCCAGTGGTTCTGAAAATTTAAGCAAAAAATCATTTTTTTTTTTGGACTTATAATGAGAAACGGAAATAAGAAAATATGTTTCTTTTATCGAGATCTACTAACCCTGAATATATTTGCACTTCTTTAAGACTCACCCTTTATAGTTTAGTTCTTTTTGAGATAAATATAATTATCTTAAAAATCACTACGAGTAACGGTTCTGGAAGTTATTTGGAATCGAAATTATCAGTATCTGTCATCATTGACATAAATTAAATATGTTGACTAACTAGTTATTAGACCGAAATCATAAATTTCAAATTTTTGTACCAAAAGTTCAACAGAAAAAAAAGTTCCCAAATTTATCATTTCAGTCAAGTAATTATGTACACAAGATATTATATTTATTTTTTGTCAATAATGACATGTATTGACTATTTCCATTCTAAATATCTCGAGAACAAGGTTAAAACACATGTAGGTGGCGCCCCCTATAAATAGGAGTCATATTGACATCAAAATCAAATTTTCACTTATAATATCACAAGAGCTTAAATTATTTTCGGAAATTTTTTTGAGGGCACGAATATTTTGAAAATTATCCCGAGTCGAAGACGAGGGATAATTTTCCTAAAATATTCGTGCACGAAAGAAAATTTCCAGGAATAATTTAAGCTTGCGTGGTATTCAGTAAGAAAATTTCACACCTAAATTTGAAAAAAAAAATATTAATCCAACATGACATTTTAAAATAATTTCAATTTGTTAAGTTGGCCAAGGTATTGATGTTTTTGACATATTATGTGTTTTGTCATTTTTGTTTGCGATTCTGTCATTAAGCTATTACTAGTTTTAAAACGTCTGTACGTAGAGTAGAAGTGTATAGCGAAATGTCGCGATTTGGAAAAGTAAACCAACAAGTCATTAAAGAAGAAATTGAAAATATAAAACCAGATAACACCCGAAAATCAAAATCAAGTGTATGGAAACAGTTTGTTGAATTTTGTGATGAAAAGTCGTATAATATTCATGAGTGTATGAGTGTAGTACAGCTGGCTACTATACTGGAGGACTACGCATTTAATATGAAAAAGAAAAATTTTGAAGATTATAAGGAAAGTGTGGTCAAAGTGATGTGGAACTCTACTGCTAAGCAGTTGCAAGAAATTTATTACGAAAAATATAAAATAAAATTTAATCCGTTTTCTGATGTGGAATTTGTGACCGCCAGAGCTGCACGCGATGCTAAGCGCAAAATACTACAGAGAGATTCAGCAAAAAGAAAAGTGAGTGCTTCAGCCTTAACCAGTGACGAATACAAAAAAATTATTGAAATGTGGGATGAAAATACTCCAGATGGGTTGCAGCGTAAATTTTTTCACATAGTTTCACATGAGCTGGCATGGAGAGGAGGGGAAGGACATTCTGCTTGTATCCAATACTTCAAAGAAGAAACTGATAATTTCGGAAACCCAAAAGGTCGGATAGAATATAATCCAATTTTCTCTAAAACCACACAAGGTGGTTCTAAAAAACTGTCGGATAGTAAATGGTTGATTAGAAATTTCGAAAATCCACAAATGTGTCCGGTTCGCTTGTTTAGAAAGTTGATGGAAAAAAGGGGAAATCTTATTCAAACCGACAGACTATTCTTAACACCAAACCCATACTGGAATCAACCCAATTCGAAAGGATGGTACAAGAATAGCCCAGTTGGTAAGAACATTGTATCTTCATGGTTTAAATCAGCAGCTTCAGATATAGGAATTGACACTAAAAAAGTTAAAATAACCAATCATTCTGCAAGAGCAACAGCTGTTTCGAATTTGGCCAAGAAAGGAGTTGGTGAACAACAGCTCATTAAAATTACTGGACATAGTAATAGTCAGTCGATCAAACCTTACTTACAGTTGGACGCTGAACATCATCAACAGATGATTGAATCCATGAGGAGCATTTCATCAAGTACTAGCCAGTTCAATCATGATCAGAGCACAATGCAAAATAAAACAGAAAATACCCAGATTCAAACCACCAATTCAAGCCAGCCTACAAACATTTACAATAATTGTGTTTTTAATATTAATAAAACCTATAATTACTAAATGTGTTTCGTTATTATTTTGCTATATTAGTCGATATCATTAAAGATTTGGCATTGAAGATAATTCAACATGAAATAAATTCTAAAAAAATCATATAGATATATCCATCATATTTCGTTAAATAGAAAAATACCAGCTTTAGTTAAATAAAGGCGGCAGAACTATATTTTTTAGAACATGGCAATTTCGAAGAAATTCATATGTAGGTATATCTAACATATTTCCTTAAATAAAAAATATTACCAACCTTAGTTACATCAAATGCTAAAACTCAAATGGGTAATATTTCAATATATAGACATTGTAGTTATTCACATCATGATTCTAGATCTTTACATGTTTACCTTTTCAACTGTCAAAAATTTCCACTAAAGTTTCGTGGCGCCTCGAAAAATTTCTGGAAATTTTTCCCAGTTACTCATAGTAACTTTAATCCAACATTAAAGCATGTTATTGGTTGAAAAGTAGAGGTGTGAAATTTTCATCCAAATATTGATGTTACTTCAGAAATTATTTAGAAAAAAATCGAAGTAAAAATGAAACTTCTACACCCTGTATCTCCAAAACGAAGCATTTTAGGACATACATTTTATCTGCAGAATATGCTATTGTTGCCGAAGTTTCCGGAATACAGTTCGGACCACCCTGTATAATAATGAGGAAAGAATCAAAAAAATTCCATTTCAATAAAATATATGCATATCGCTAATCACATTAGTACCATTAGCAGATGATTAAACCTGTTAAATAGACTATAATGTCTGTAACTTTTTCTATAAAACAGAAAATAATAGATTACATTATTCATTTATAATCTTTTTAGAACTTGAATTATCAACATCCAATTTTCCTAAAATCAATACCAGTCACGTATAGTTCTTGCCTTGTAACTTTTCCATTATGTTGGAATATGGTGCACCCAGTAATATTTTTTAATAAAAATAAAATAATACTACTAAAAGCAAAGGCGGCAAGATAGCTTTTTTGTAATTCAACATGTCGGGTTCTGAGTTCTGAGCTCCATTGAATCTTTAAAAAACTATCGAGACTGAGATTCGAATGAAACGCGAATACTTAGATCAAAACGGATATGACCAGCTGATACTGAATAAGCTGTGATGTAATTATTTGTTATTTATAAGTAGAAGAAGAAGAAATGAAAAAATAATTGTAAATATACATAAAAACATCCGAAATTAAATAAATCATGATGGCGTCAATTTTTTTTTCAGTAAAATTATAACGTAGTAAGGAAAGTTAATTTGTTGCTATTAGATCTGATTTAAAATTTTTAGTCGTAGGTAATTTTCTGGCGTGTGGAATTAATTAACCTTGACTACATGTTATTGTTAAAATTTGTAAATATATTTATTAGTAAGTTGTAAGCAGCAAAAAAGTATTAATAAGATCTAATCAGATTGTTATAAAGTTCTTCTTCTGCGTTGTACATATTTTCATTTCAAATTTTGTTTCACAATCAGGTCTTATTGCGAAAAAATTACACGTAGATGTAATGGGTCAGAAAATGGATTAACTACTTATGGTTCATCTAATAATTTAATACCTAAGCTACAGTTAGAGGATCCTAAAATATATCAGAAAAAAATTACAAAAATATTAAGGGGTACCAATTTAATTTTTTTGTAGGAAAAATTAAACCTAGAATTAAAAAACAAGATATATTAATGCGTAACGTTATTTCTCCTCTAGAGATTAGAGAAGCTGGAAATTACTACTCTTTCAAGAATTTTGTATTTCGGATTCTGTATGTTCCATATACACATTCGCCTCGGCTATATCTTTGAATATCTCAAAAACCAAAGTTTTTAAACAAATTAAACTCTTATAATAAATGCCTTATTTTATGTCCAATAATCCATAAATGAAATAAAATACCGGGTGTTCCATAAGAAAAAATATAACTTTGGTATGGATCTTAGTTCTGACACACCCTGTACATTTCAAAATATTTTTAAATTGTGCACATTGCCTTCCCACATATACCCATCAAATATTTTGTTTCTACAACTATCCGTATAATCAACCGAGGCGAATGAGGTGCGCCACCCTGTACATTCATATTTTCCATAAATATTAATAATATAAGCCGTACAGAATTTTCTTCTGACTACCTACTTGATACCATTTTAAAAACACCACTTGAACGCCAAAAGTTAAACCGTAATCAACTGAGACATGAATCAATTAATACACACAACCAAACTTATATGGAATCATCTATTATTTTTCATAATTTTTGAGATTTTGTGTTTATGAATAAAACTCAGT